TTAAGAGGTGACTTGATAGAGACATACAAGATGATCAGAGGATTAGAAAGGGTGGACAGTGGGAGCCTTTTTCCTCGGATGGTGATGGCTAGCATGAGGGGACATAGCTTTAAATTGAGGGGTGATAGATATAAGACAGATGTCAGAGGTAGGTTCTTTACTCAGAGAGTAGTAAGGGCGTGGAATGCCCTGCCTGCAAAAATAGTAGACTCGCCAACTTTAAGGGCATTTAAATGGTCATTGGATAAACATATGGATGATAATGGAATAGTTTAGGTTAGATGGGCTTCAGATTGGTTTCACAGGTCGGCGCAACATCGAGGGCCGAAGGGCCTGTACCGCGCTGTAATGTTCTATGTTCTATGTTCTATGTTCCAAGTTGCGGTGCGAGGATCTTTAGCATAGTCAGGATGGAGGTACATACCTGTGGAAATGACCCATCCCAATGGCAAAAGTCAGAGCATCTTTCAGCTCTAATAAGGGCTATCAATTCTCAGGAAGGCCTGATCATAGATGACCACCATGTTTAAAAAATATTTCTGTGGAGCAGTGGAGAATTTTTAAGTAATTAAGACATGCATCGAGATCTTGAGGGCCTCACTGGATCTAGTATGGGCAATACACTGGCTTTCACCACCCTGTTATAACTTTTGAACACAGAGATCACAAAATCATCTTCCTCCTATGCCAAAGTGGAATTTGCTGACCTGTTTGTTTTTGTTGGAAAGCAGTTTAATCGCACAGTGACATACTAAAATATGAGCTACTTACAACTGAGGAACTACAACCAGCATCACCGTGGTTTCTCCAGGGTTTGTGGCTCGAATTGACCTAAGAAATGAAAAGCAGTAAAGACAAAAAACAATAAAGTGGAAGACTCTTTCTTTTTAACTTCCTGCAAAACATCTCGAAAAAATTACAATGATTTATTCTTCAGCTTTCATATTCTAAAATGACAGTTAAAGTAATCGCATGAAGATTTTGATGAAACCTAAAATCATGTGATTTTCTTTGGATATTTCTCTTTATTGAAAATCAAGAGGCTGTCTGGACAGTTAAGCATTGTATAATTGGGTACTAACTACTTTTACTTTCCCGTTGGTGATGAAGGCAGTGTGTCACACAGATGGATATGTTAGTCAACTATTGACGGGAGTATGGTGGAGTATGGGGACAAGTCAGGTGACTAACCTCCATGAATACTTTAATCTCTGTTGGCAACTTGACTTCAGAGGGCTGTTAAGAATGAACCAAAATGTTGTGGGCCTGGAGTCACATATGGGCCAGACGGGGAAGAACAGCAGATTAATCTACTGAAGGACACTTAGTGAACCAATTTGGTTTCTCCCTGATTCACAACTATTATTAATGATATTAGCTTTTAAACTTCAGATTTATTTATTAATTGAATTTAAATTTCTTCGGTTGCCATCATGGAATTTCAACTCAACACTCCAGAAATGTTACCACGAAGCTACTGTCCTCTTTACAGAAACATCGATCCGTGCTGAATCACAGTTTCAATCTGGGTAGATTTACTCGTACAGAGCTGAACCTGAATTTGGGACCTGTTGAGATTCAGACATTCCCAAGACTTATCCAATGCCTAATCATTGCTGTCCATAAATAACTCCCTGCATTGCAGATCCTGCCAAGAGTTAAAATGAACCTTCTCGAATATGACAAATAATTTGTTCCTTCTGAATCATCATAAATTGTTTGTGCAAGTGACACCATATGGGAATTGACAGCAGACAATGATAGAACTAGATTTAAGAAATGCAACTTTTAATTTTAACCTAACGAACCCTCAGAGAACTGGTAGACATGGGACATATTCAGGTTGACTTTGCTGAAACATAAAAGTCAAATCAGCTCTACACTGTTCCTGCTCAGAGGGTTCTGTTAAAATCTGGAGTCAAATGAAAGACAACAATTTAATAGTATCAGGACTTTAGGGAAAAAAAAACCGTATTCACAAGGTGATTGCAAAATGACGATTCAGTATCCAATTAAATATCTTACATTGCTTTAAAAATACTCATTGGAAACCCAGGAAATGGAATATTGTACACGCTCCTCTTGAAAACTCTATATATGCTTGGCTTGTCAATGGATTGAGCCAAAATGGCGAAATTAAACACACAAAACAAATGAATGGGCAATAACTAGTTGGTCCATCAAGCCTTCCCCACCATCATGGTCAGAGCATCATGTTTGAGCACTTCCTCCTTCCCCCTTCCCATCATAACGCAACCAGCCACCCCACCCATACAGTCCCCCAATGCCCATCCGTCCCCACTTCTTACTATCCCCTTAAACCCAGTTATCATTCTCCTGGAAGAGACAAAACAAAAAGCAAGGAAGAAAAATGCGCAAATAAGGCAATAAAAGCCCTGGAAAATTCCTCTCTAACCTTCTCAGTTATTTGACCACAAGGAAAGGTAGCAGGCACAGGAGACTTTCAAGAAATTGAAATGTCCGACTGGATAACGAGAGTGTCAGGTACTGTCTGCATGTAAACAGCCAATGAACTTTGCATTATTCACTAGGCTGTAAGACTGTCTAACTCAGACCACAGTGAAATAGCTTTGGAATGAAAAATAAAACACTGTAAAAACTCCAAGGATCTAGATATCAACCTAAACCAACATGTTGCAACTTTAAAACAAAGAGAAAAATTGCAAAACTGACCAAACAAGACACATTTAAGGTCAAAGATTGACAGATTTCTAGACCATAAGGGAAATAAGGGATAAAGAGGTAGGATGAGAAAACGGGCTGTGATTATATGGAATGACAGATTAGACTTGAGAAATGATACAATCCACTCCAGCTTCTTAATTCTCTACAAGATGGTGAGAGGCATAGATAGAGTGGATAGTCAGAGACTTTTTTCCCAGGGCGGAAATGACTATTACGATGGGGCATAATTTTAAAGGTGACTGGTGAAGGTATAGGGGAGATGTCAGAGGTAGGTTCTTCACACAGAGAGTGGTGGGTGTGTGGGATGCGCTGCCGGCAGTGGTAGTGGAGTCAGATACTTTAGAGACTTTTAAGCGACTCTTGGATAGGCACATGGAGGGTAGTAAAATGTAGGGTATGCAGGGTAGATTGATCTTAGTAGGAAAATAGGTCAGCACAACATTGTGGGCCGAAGGGCCTGTACTGTGCTGTACTGTTCTGTGTTCTTTATCTTCTGTTCATTTTGACAGCATCTTCTGCCTTTCACAAACTGCAGTGTTGGACTGTGGCAGCCTCATAGCCATTTGGACATGGGAATTCTGCCCTGTACTCAAGACAAAGTCCTGCCTCAGACACTTGCTTACCTGTCTAAGTATCAGCAGCAGAAATGGCAGCTGTGGCCTGACCTTGGACTGCATCACCAGATTCTAAGTGCTGGAATCCAAGATCAGATCAGTCAGGTTGAGATAGTCTCATGTCAAGGTGAGGTGGTGAGGCCAAGTTGGATGGAAACGAGGTGGAATCTTGATGGAGAGTCCAGGGGTGGGGAAGAAACACCCACAAATGGGTAAGGATGGGAGCCACCTAATGTGTAAACAGTGCACTTGTTTGGAACTCCATTCCTTTTTCCCTGTCCAAAGCCTGAGCAGATTGAACAGAGTAGCGAAACTGAAGCTGTGACGCAAGTGGCCCTTAAGTGGTCACCAATTGAACACTTTAGGATCTCCATTGGGGGTGAGATTGGGTGAGCTTCCCTAGGCTGTAAAATTGGAACAATTTGGAGCAGGGCTAAAGAAGATCCCCCTGAAGCTTACCTCTGACAAACCTTTCCACATAAGATGTGCAGGCTAGGTGGATTGGCCATGCTAAATTGCCCGTAGTGTTCAGGGATGTGTAGATTAGATGGGTTATAGGGGGATGGGTCTGGGTGGGATGCTCTGAGTGTCGGTGTGGACTTTTTGGGCCAATGGGCCTGTTTCCGCACTGTAGGGATTCTATGATGATGATAAGATTTTTCTTATTTATTCATTTTGTGGGATGGGGTCATCGTTGGCTGGCCAGCATTTATTGCCCGTCCCTAGTTGCCCTTGAGAAGGTGGTGGTGAGCTGCCTTCTTGAACCGCTGCAGTTCATTCTCCTCTACATTACTAATCTAGTTCCACTTACCATAATTCAAAGATACAACTCAGAAATACTGGATTCCAGGAACTAAAAACATGGCTGCATCCGATAGTCTGCAGGCCTGTTTTCAAAAGGCCTGTTGGATTACCTGCAAAGAGCTTCGGCATCAAAATATCTGGTGTGTCTGTTGTCAACGACTATAATTTCATGATGTTTATCCAGAAAGTATTCCAGTGCAGACTCTGGTGTCCGTGCGATGTTGCACTTGTATCCAGCTCTATCACATGCCCACCAAAAGCCATCACTCTGTCTGTCCTCTTTAGCAAAGACCAATAGAACCTACAAAGATAGGTTATATCAGGTGAGATTCCATTGTGCGTTCCTACTGAGTCACATTTGAATCAATCTACAGATAATAAATGTCATTATTAGAAGGTGTGCTATAGTCACCAAATCTCTGAGAATAATGCATCTTAATTCGAAGAACAAGCATAGGGACATTGCAATCGACCTCTGTCATTAATTATAAAGAAGAGAGGAGGTAAATCAGTCAGGTTTCTCACTGCTAATTTTTGTTTAAATCTAGTGACCACTGGACGACATATGAGCTTAGTTATGAACTGATTAAGAAACAATGGGCCAAATGGCTTCCTTCTGCACTGTAACAATTCTGTGATTCTGACTGCACCTCACAAGTCCAGCTGATATTTGAGGGTGAAATCCCGCTGTATGAGATAAGCATACCATATTAAGCCCACCTTGCGATTAGTGACTTGCAACTGTCACAAAATAAATCTAACTTTGATTTACATTAGTCACAGTTATTAGTGCTGCAATTGAGGAATTTTAAAGATTGTAAGTCAAAGATTCATGCAAACCATGGAAGTGATATACAAGTGTTTTACAGAAACTTCTGTTTATTATCGTTGCAATACCAAGTACTATTATGACATTCTGAACTTGTGCCCAATGTGTTACCACATTATCACAGATTTTATTAATCTCTATATTATACAAAGTGAACAGAAAATTGAATCCGGGCTTCACTCAAGGTTTAGAAGCCTTTTAAACTGGCCCATCATACCTGGGCCCTCTAATACTTTATCCTGGTACTATTTTTGTGACTGATGTGTGTGTCAGAAACAGGCTAGTACCTGGAGCAAACTATGATTTATTATATTGTTAGGGGTCGTGCAATTTTAACTTGACAAATCCTGCCAGATGTCAAACTTGTAGCATAGAACTTATCAGGATTGGTTTCAGGGACCAAGACTAAAGTCACACACAACAACAAGGTGTTCAGATCACAGGAATCTGTCCATTAAGTTCACTTGTTGCATTTCCAATTGATTTCGAAGTTTGGGAATTACTTTCTTTTTCATTTATTCACCATTAGACCCTGTAAAAATACTCAATATGATGCCATTCTTTCTTCATTGTTTTGGATGGATGAGGGGAAGCAAACAGCAACAAGAACATTTGCAGTAGCCTCACCCACCAGGAGGAGGGGCAGGTGAGCCTGTGAGAAGACAGAAGGTCATGGGACAGCTGCTTGCAGTAAGCATTACCAGACCACCAAACCAATGCAGCAAGTGAGTTTTCTGATGTCTCTGAGGAAGAATGCATGAGAAGTCTGTGTTTCTCCTGATAAGTTAATACTGGTCTTTTGCAGCTTGCTACAAGATCTGAAGCCTCCTGAGCATTGAGCCTGAGGCACAACTGCCTTTAACAGTGTCAGCTGGCAGTCCCGTTGTTGGAAAGACCAGAATATGAGTCCTTTCCTTTTTTCTGCAAGGGACACATGAGGAATAGGTGAGGTTTTCCAGACTATGGTAACAACAGTTTTTTTTTAATTGTCATGTATATTTTCCAGTAAGAATACAACAAAATACAATGAGAAGCTTTCATTTGTCATGACAATTCTGTGACATTTTGAATAATTTAATAATAAGGTAAAAAAGGAAAGATATAGTTTAAAGCGAGTCCATCAGTCCTGAGCCAGCTATTATCAATGATGCCTGAGCTGGCATCCCTCCTCCATCCCTACACCGGAACCAACCAACATCAAAGTTACTGATCCTCAGGCCACAGCCTAGCTGCCACTTGCCAATGTCAGAGTCGCATCTTTCACTGCTGGCCTCTGTCTGAACTGGTTCTCAATCTCTTCTGTGAATGGACCTTACACCTAACCTTACATTTTCTCAATCTGGAATCCAGTTGATATTGCAATGGTGTGGGTTGGTATGTCCACCCAGCAGGACTATTGGACATCAGCAGATGCACTCTCCAGCATGACCACCGCATGGCAGGGGAAATCTGCATTTAAAACTGGTTAGAACCATGCTGCATAACTCAAAGTATAAGTGGTTTTAACTCATGTGAGTTCTCAATATTTTACAAGTACTTCCACTTCCACAATTGTGGATGGGTGCACTGATTGGAGAATATGTTTACTCTATTAGTAATTTTTTTTTATCTTTGAAATGCTTAGTATACACGGATCAAATCTCTCCTACAATATTCCAATCTATAGGCACTGCTGCAGAATTAATAGGATTTGGAAAGATAATCACCAAAGCATTCACTTTCTCTGTATCGCTGAAACAAGTGGCTAAAGAGAATGTGGATGCATTGGTGATCATCTTTCAAATCCTATTAATTCTGCAACAGTGCCCGCAGATTGGAAGGCTTTAAAAGTAATTCCACTGTTTAAGGAAGGAGAGAGAAAATGGGGAACTCTTGACCTTTTAGCCTGAGGTCAGTAGTAGGGAATGTACTTGAACATTATTAAGGAAGTGATTACTGTGTTTGAAAATTAAATATCCGATTGAACCAAATCAACATGGATTTATGATGGACTTAATTTTGGGCACGTTACTAGCAGAGTCATGAAGGAGGAATCAGTGAATGTAGTGTATATGGATTCTCAGAACACTTTTGATAAAGTCCCACTCAAAAGTTTATTAAACAAATGAAAGTGCATGGGGATTAGAGGTAAAATTCTAACATAAATTGAGAATTGGTTAATGGGCAAAAAACAGAAAGGAGGAATAAATGGGTCATTTTCAGGTTGGCAGGCTATGACCACTGGGTTGCTACAGGGATCAGTATTTGGGCTGCAGCTATTTACAATCTATATCAATGATTTGGGTGTGAGACTCAATGGTAATATTTCCAAATATGCACATAACGCAAAACTTGGTGGGAATTTGAGTTGTGTGGAGGATGCAAAGAGGCTTCAAGAAGATTTTGACAAGCTGAATGAGTGAGAAAGTGCACTGTAGGTGGAATATAATGGGATATCATATATGTGTGAGGCTCTCCACTTTGATATGAGGAATGAAGGTACAGAGTATTTCTCAAGTGGTGAGAGAATGGCAAGTGTTGATGTCCAAAGGATTCCAGGTAGTGAAAGCTAACATAGAGGTACAATAAGCAATTAGGGAGGCAAACAGTATGTTACAAACAAAAGAAGAAATTGCTGGAAAACCTCAGCAGGTCTGGCAGCATCTGTGGGGAGAAATCAGAATTGATGTTTCAGGTCGAGTGACCCTTCCTCAGAACTCAACTCGAGACATCAACTCTGATTTCTCTCCACAGATGCTGCCAGACCTGCTGAGGATTTCCAGCAATTTCTGTTTTTGTTGCTGATTTACAGCATCCGCAGTTCTTTCGGTTTTTAAACATTATGTTAGCCTTTATCACAAGTGGATTTGAGTACAGGAGCAAAGAAGTCTTGCTTTAATTGGATAGAAAACTAGTGACATCACACAGGAGTATTATGGGCAGTTCTAGTCCCCTTGCCATAGAGGGAGTGCAGCCAGAGGTTCACCAGACTGATTCCTGGGATAATCGGTCTGTACTAAGAGAGATTGAGGAGACTGGGCCTGTATCCTAGGAGAGCAATTGCATGAAAGTTAACAAAATTTTTAAAGGGTAGATGTATAAAAACAACTTGCCCCTCAAGTCTCCTTTGAACTTTCCCTCGTCTGTAGGGTCTAGAACCAGGAGTTACGATCTTAGAATAAAAGTCAAACCATTTATGAACTGAGATGAAGAGGAACTTCTTCAATCAGAGGGTGGTGGTACTTTGGAATTCCGTACTGCAGAGAGCTGAGGGAGTTCAGTCATTAAATAAATTTAAGACAGAGATATCAATTTCTACTTATTGATGACATCAGAGATATGGAGATAACGCAGAAGCAATGATCTAGAATGATGGAGCAGGCTTGTGGGGCTGCACAGCCTATTGCTGCTCCTAAATTCCAATTATTATTTACTCTCCTAAAATGAAATCTAATCTGAAGAATATAATTTTGAATGGAATGTCTAACTGAAGCCCTGTTTACCTTCACAGTAAGATGTAATTGCAAATGCAATTTTTTTTTAGGAAGCGCACAGAAGTTCTTCCAGTGTCTTGGTCAGTACATTTCCCTTAACTAATACTATCAAAAGTAGATTAAGAGATCATTTGTGTTTGACAAACATAGAAATAGAACATAGAACCGTACTGTGCAGGAACAGGCCCTTCAGCCCACGATGTTGAGCCGAACATGACACCAAATGAAACTAATCCCTTCCTCCCGCCCTTGGTCCATATCCCTCCATTCCTTGCATATTCATGTGCTTGCTAAAAGTCCCTTAAATGCCCTTATCATATCTGCCTTCACTACCACCTCTGGCAGTGCGTTCCAGATTCCTACCACTCTCTGTGTAAAAAAACTTGCCTCTCATATCTTCTTTGAACTTTCCCGCTCTAACATTAAATGCATGCCCCCTAGTATTAGACATTTCAACTGTGGGAAAAAGATTCTGACCGTAAACCCTATCTAGGCATTTCATAATTTTATAAATTTCTATCAAGTCTTCCCTCAGCCTGTGCCACTCAGGAGAAAACAACCCGAGTTTTTCTAGCCTCTCCTTATAGCTCAGGTCCTGTAATCCAGCCATTAACTGTACATTTTTCCTTAACATTTGGTCTCCCAAAATGTAGCACCTCACACTTACCCAGATTAAACTCCATTTGCCATTTCTCCGTCCATACCTGCAATTGATCTATTTTCCACTGTATCCTTTGACAACCTTCCACACTATCTATAACTCCACTGATCTGCAAACCTACTAACCCACCCATCTACACTTTCATCCAAGACATTTATATATATCACAAACAGCAGAGACCCCAGTACGGAACCCTGCAGAATACTACTAGTCATGGGCCTCCAGCCTGAAAAACACCCTTCCACCACTATCCTCTTTCTTCTATGGGCAAGCCAATTCTGAATCCATGCGGCCAAGTCATCATGGAACCCATGCATCTTAACCTTCTGGATGAGCCT